GACACTTTGTTTTTAATAGTTATGGATTTTTACAGTTACCTTCTATTTATGACTCATGAAACTGTTTTTCCACTATAGCTACTATAATTTATAGTAGTAATTTAAAATGTATTTAATATAAAGAGCTTTTAAAGTTTACTGATTTAACATGTACTTTTTAAGTAGATAAATTTAAGGAACAATTTGAAGTACTAGTGACAGGAGAGAGATGCATTTAGGGCAAAGTCATGATGGTGCATGAGGTCTGTGGTCCGTGTTGGAGAAATGAAATGAAAAAGACCTTTCATTGATGAACACAGTGATTTTGGGAATATTCTGCGGGGAAGGTGTTCTGGATGTTGGGCAATTAGATGGGTGATGGGATAGTTATTCAAGGAACATTTCCTTAAATTGATAAAGGCAAAGAGGAAAGGCATATAGTTGGGAGTCTTTGGGGAAGACAGTGACCCCACTGCCATTCTTGTCTTAGGATAGAAAGGGTATCGTGATGGAAAGGAAAATCGCTACTGTCTCCTCAGACCCAGAGTCGTTTCCTTTCTCTAAGACCAGGCTTCTCCAGCTGATAAAAGGACCTCCACTAGTGGCCACTCTCGAGTCAAGGAAACTCAATCAGCTGGGGTTGCTGTTTTGGACAACACTGTGCTGGCCAAGGTCACAGAAGCGCAAAAAAGCGAAGCCATCAGCTGGCCACTGACAGCTAACTGCACAGTTAGAGATGGATGCCAAGAGACATGAAACCATTTGTGCTACATTTAAGATAGAATTTAATTAGGTGTGAAGTTAAGTTAGGATGTAACCAAAATTTCATTCATTCATTCATTCATTCATTCATTTATTCATTATGCATTCATACATTTCTTCATCCATCCATCCAACTGAGTAGCAGGGGCTTGGTCTGTTTTGTTCCCCAGTGTATTAACAGTGCCACGCACAAGATAGATGCCCGACAAATAGTTGTTAAATTAATGAATAAATGAATAAATTCAAGAAATGTTTGAATAGCTGCCCGGACCCTGGCCAGGTCCTGGGGATGAAGTAAATGGAACCTCGAGGAGCTCACAGTTCAGTGTCAAAGACAGAGGAGTGAACAGATAGTGGCATCATGGGGCAGTTGTGCCATCACTGAGAAGAGCACAGGTGGGGTGGGGGCATTTAGTTGGCCAGGGAGGGTTGACCAAAGAGGTGATGCCCGATTTGGGTCCTTTGCAGGAGTTGTGCAGGCCAATAAAGGAGACACGAATTTCCAGGCAGAGAGGGCAGTATGTGTTAAGGCAGGACACGAGAAAACATGGTGTATTCGTGGCCACCAAGTAACTCATTATAACTGGGGCATGTGGAGTGAAGAAAGGAGGGACAACCAATGGGGCTTGAAAATCAGGGAGAGACCAAATCCTGGAGTATCATGTCAGCCTACCAAAGAGCTCAGAGATGACCTGAGAGAAGAAGAGACCCATAGAAGGGATCTGAGCAGTGGCTCATCATGACTAGTCTTCAGCTTCACAATTTCAGCTTTGTACTGGTGGAGAGGAGAAACAGGGCAAACCAGCAAGAAGCAATGGGAGCAAAGGGGCTGGACCAGTGGAAGGGCAGAGTCTGTACTGGGAGCCATTGCTGGAAAGTAAGGTGAGATAGATTACTTAGGGGCCAGAGGATAACACTTAAGGCTCTGAGCAGATGGTGACTGGATATGGTGAAGGATGGTTCCTCTGGAGGCACTACTGTGGGTCAGTTGTGGGAAGACGATCAGAGGCTGTTACAGCTCAAGGTCTGCCTGGGACGGTGGCCACGAGCAGACTTGAGGGATGGGTCAAAGAAATCATTGGCAGGGGTTGATAATTATCTACATATGCAGCCTGAAAATAGAAGGCAAAGGTAAGTTTCAGGTGTTGAACTTGGGTAAGTGAGAAGATTTGCCATTCTCTCGACAAAAATAGAAAATTGTGGAAGCAAAGCTGGTCTAAATTCAAGGGTAGTAATGAGCTTGGCTTTGAGCAAGTAGAGCTGAGCTGAGCTGACGGAGCAGTTGTGGTGGGCCACTGAAGATGCCGGGCCAGAGTGGCCCACAGGTCAAGACAGGCACTTCTGGGCATCACCAACACAGAGATTCTATTTGATGACTTCAACATGGAAGGGGAAAGGAATAAAAGACAGTGAGAGAAAGCTGAAAGTTTAGCAGCAGCCTTGGGGATATCACAGATATGTGTCAAATTCTAAAGGACTTCCAAACAAAGGTCTGTAGAGCACCTAAGACCTCCCATAATGCTGAGTGGCGCATATCCTGGGAAGGACCAGGCTCCCTGGAGAGATAAGCACAACAGGACTTTGGAGGCACACAGAGACTCTTCCAGTGGAGGTCAAAAGGGGCCAATCCCAGTGCTAGGGGTAGGTTTTCATTCCAGCTAGAAGGGCAAGACTCATTTCCAAAAGATTAAATGTTAATAAAAATACAGTACTTCCTAAAGAATAAACATTTGGGTAGAAAATCTAATCCCACATAGAGAGTACATAAAAATGCTTTAGAAACCAGCTCCTCAGGGGGTGATTCAAAGGTGCAGGTCCAACTCTGAGGAAAGGTCTCTAGCAGTATACCACAGGGCTCTGTCCTTGGTTCCTTCATTTACTATTTTTAACCACAGGTGCATGAAAGCAGGTAGGGCAAAATGGCAGAAGATACAAAGCCAGGAGGGGTGGTGAAGAGAAAGATGACAGACAGAACTAGGAATCAAAATGATCCCCACACACTGGAACACTGGGCCAATGAAACTGAGAGAAGATATACGCGGATCCTCTCTTTGGGTTCAAATGCCAGGTGCACCCAGAAAGGACAAGGCAATTGGGCTTGTGAAAAATGCTCAGGGTCTCTAGTTGAGAGGACACCCAATATCAGTCAACAGCAAATACAGCTGGTCAAAATCAAATGAACAAACACACAAAAAAACAAACCCCCCTCAAAGGAAACCTTAGGGCCCATGGTGAATAGAACTGAAGGGTTTAAACAAAGGAGCAAACAGTCCCCCAGGACTTTGAATTGATCAGGGAACACCCGGAGTTTTACATTCCATTTTCTGTATCACATATTGAGAAGGACATGGACCAATTAGGGCATTTCTAATCATTCCACAAATCTATCTGAAGCCTGGAGGTGGGTGCTAAGAATACAAAGACAGAAAGGTCATAGTCCCTGCCACGGATGATGAGGGACATGAAAACCAATTTGTATGAAGAACAGAAGAACCGGGAACGCTTAACCTGAGGAACAAAAGGCTTGGAGGGAGAGATGAGCGGGAAAGAAAGAGTGCTATAAGAGACATTCTAAATATGTATAGGGCTGCCTGAAAGAAGGATTAGACTGACTTTGGGTACTCCAGAGAGTGGAACTCAGACTCTTACAGGAATGAAGGCTTAAGCTCTTTAAGGAAGAAATTTGTAATAATTACAGCTGTCCCAAAATGGAACGGTGGCCTTGATAGGTGATGAGTTCCCTATCACTGGAAGTAGTCAAGCAGAGACTACATGATCACCTATCAAGAATGCTATCGAGGCATTGTCACGGAGTGGGAGACATTTAGGAACCCTAAATGCCCTTAAAACTCTAAAGCCCTAAGATGCTTTCTTCAATGAGAAGTGTGAGCTTTCTCCATCCTATGGATGGGTGAAGGTAAGGTGTGAAATTTGGCTGATGGGGTACACCTGGGTGGAAGGCTGTGGAAGAAAAGGAGTTAACACTGGGGGAAACTGGCAAAGATGTTGAGTGGCTTTTAGAAAGAAGGCTCTGCGCAAACCAGAGATGGAAAGAACTCAGGGGGATTCTTAAAGACAGAGAACAAACTGAGGGTTGATGGAGGTGAGGTGGGTGGGGGGATGGGCTAAAGGGGTGATGGGAATTAAGAAGGGCACTCGTTGGGATGAGCACTGGGTGTCATATGTAAGTGATGAATCACTGATTTCTAATCCTGAACCAATATTGCACTGTATGTAAACTAGAATTTAAATAAAAACTTGGGAAAAAAAAGAAAGAACTTGGTGGTGGGAGGGGAGGGCACAGTTTCAGACTTGTGTCAGTGTGTGTGTGTGTGTGTGTGTGTGTGTGTGTGTGTGTGTGTGATTGTATAAGCTGCAAGTTTTTAAAACTCTGGATATTTTACATATAAATCCAGGTTTCCTCGTTTCTCTTGAAGAGAAAGGGCACACACCTTTCCACGCAGCAGCCTCCCCTTGCCTGAAGGGTGAGCCGTCCTGTGTGCTCCTGTCCCGTCCCCACCTCTCCCTGCTTCCCAGACCTGGGCCTCGTCCCTCATCTATATTCCCCTCTTGGCCCCTGATGGCACTGGGGTTTGCAGCCACAATTTTAAATTTTCACATGGGTTCTTGGGAGCAGAAACCATGCTTTTTATTTTGGGATCACTAGCACATAGCCTGGTACTTAGCAGACTCTCAGTCATGTCTGTTAAAAGATCCTCAAGGGAAAGGATGACAAATCACAATAATGGTGACAAGGCCAGATCCCCTTACCTGGATCTCAACTCCCGGAGAAGCTTTCCCTAGAGTTCTGTGCCTCCAGAGCCCCTGAGCCTGGCAGCCTGTGAAGCTGGGCCATCAGAAGTTGGCTGCAATCATTTTCATGATAATAAATCAACATCTAAGACTTGCATTAACAGTGCCCTCAAAGCTGTTGGAACAGTGACTTTTCACATCTGTTTGTCTGTGACATAATTGGCCTATTGGTAACGTTTCTGATTATTTTCCCTTTTGGGTTGCCCACCTCTGCTCTTTACCTTCCTTTATCTGCAGATATGAAAATGAGCAGCCATTTCGAAAGGCAGCAGAAGAGGAAATTAACTCTCTGTATAAAGTCATCGATGAGGCTAATTTGACAAAAATGGATCTGGAGAGTCAAATAGAAAGCCTGAAAGAAGAACTTGGCTTTCTGTCAAGGGGCTATGAGGAGGTAGGTGGGGGCAGGGGCAACGCTGGGTTGGCCACAGACCACAGGCACTCACCTGTCTGACGGAGGTTCACAACAGTGATGGTGGCTCATCTCAGCCTCTCCCCGTCCCTTGCCCAGGGCTGCAGGGAAAATGCGGGTAAAATACCTTCAAATCCTTGTAGTGGGTAAGGCTACCCCAGGGAGTCTCAAATTCAAGTGGCTTTGAGACCAGGCTGGTACATAAATGGAGGAGACAGCAGGTCCACGCCGGCAAGAGTGACGGAGTCTGTGTTGAACTGGAGAGAGCATCCTCTACCTCAAGGCACTGTATTTCATGTCTTTTTTTTTTTTTTTTTTTTTAGCACTGCATAGGACAAACAAGACAGCTCTGAAGGTAGATCCAAGCTGTGGTTTACACACACTCATTAATGAAATTAGGTCAGATGCTTGAGTGACAGGACTCAGTGGGACCTCCAACGGGGAAGCCCTCCAGTTCCCTGCGGAATGGCACTGACTCTAAACCACCTCACACAAGTCGCTGATCAGACACTTAAAGTGCTTTCAGTTGAAAAAGTCAAAACTCACTTAACCATGCTTCCATTGGGAAGTCCCTTCTTTTGTCCAACCTCAGGCTGACCAGGAACCCAAAGCCCACTTCCTGTTCCTAGCTCAGTCGTTTGGTACCACTCCCCCCACCTCCAACCCTTGGAGACTCCAGAGTTACCTTTAAACCTCTTCCTGCCTACTGTGACTTTGCAAAACCCATCAATTTCATCTTACTCTTGTTGCTTACTCTGTTTGTGTTGTTATTTGGTTATTTATTTATTTTGACGTTTGCTTTGAGTGGGTCTGGGCTTGCGAAGACCAGCCTAAGAAATACATCCTTGGGGAAGGAGACTATGGCACCGGTGCTGATGACAGGGTCAGGGACTTTGCCAGTCTCTGCGAAGCCCCACTTTTGGCAGTAGCAGAATGAGAAGCATAAGGATTACCCAACAGACCTGGGCTTATGCTGGCTCAACTTCTGTGTCCTTTCCTTCACCTCTGGAACTCACCTGAAGCGTCTATCGTCATTTGCAGGATGTGAAAGTGCTGTACAAACAGCTGGCAGGGTCTGAGCTGGAACAAATGGGTGTTCCCATTGGCACTGGTCTGGACGACATCCTCGAGACTATCAGAATCCACTGGGAGAGAGACGTGGAAAAGAACCGGGCGGAGGCAGGAGCCTTGCTCCAAGCCAAGGTGAGTGTGCTCCCCTCTGCCCTGTGCAGAAGGAGGCCAAGCAAAGGTGAAAAGCAGTCAACACAGAAAAGAAGAAATGCAAGTTTCAATCTCATTAGACATAAAAGAAATGCAATTTAAGATGATAGCGGCTTACCTGTCTAAACACAGAACATGTTTAAAACTTAATGCCGACAAGTGTGTGGAGAAGTAGGTTCTCCCCTATATTACTACTGAGGAGTACAAACTCGTATGACGTCTTTGAGTGAGGGAATTCACGATATGTGTTAAAAGTCTTGAAATGCCCCTACCTTCCAGTTGAATAATCTGGACACTTTCCTAAACAAATCATTGAAAACACAGATAAAGTTTACATCCAAACATACTCACTGAAGCATTCATTTAAAGAATGAAAAAAACCGGGGTGCCTGGGTGGCTCAGTCAGTTAAGCGTTCAACTTCGGCTCAGGTCATGATCTCATAGTTCGTGAGTTCGAGCCCTGCGTCAGGCTCTGTGCTGACAGCTCGGAGCCTGGAGCCTACTTCAGATTTGGTGTCTCCCTCTCTCTCTACCCCTTGCCTGCTCACACTGTTTCTCTCTCTTATTTAACGTTTAAATAAACATTTAAAAAAAAAAGAATGACAAAACTGGGTGAGGGGACACAGAAATGTTTAATAATAGGGGTAAGGCTAAGCCACAACCTAACCATGCAATGAAATTCCAGGAAGTTGTTAGAAATATTTATGAAGCATTTATAACAACACGGGAAATGCTCACATAATAAGGTAAAATGGGGGATACAAGAGTACAGAAGGGTATATGCCAGGAACCAATAAACTTTTTCTGGAAAGCACTAAACAATGAATATTAGACTTCCTGGGCCTGACAGTCTCTGTTGAAACTACTCAATCCTGCCATGGTCCTGTGAAAGCGGCTGTAGACAAAAGGTAACAAACAAATGAGCATGGCTGTGTTCCAATAAAACTTTATTTACAGAGACAAGAGGTGGGCTGGATTTACCTGTGGGCTGCAGTTTGCCAACCCCTGGTATATACAGTAGGGTGAAGCAATCAAACAAAGAAATGAGGCATCCGGGAAGAATTAGAAAGAAAACGCAAAAATGTGTTGGAGTTAGCAGCGGTTGTCTTTGAGGGAGGGGCCTATTTGACATGTTGAGATGTTTTTGCTCGCTTGTTTTTGACCACGGTGTTTTTAAAGTTTTTCTTAAATATTATGAGTTATATTCATGGAGGAAAACATCTTTTATTAAGCCTTATAAATAATCAAGAAATTAACGAGAAAATAGAATGCATAGGGTTTCTTCTTCCCTTCTCCATCTCCCAGCCATGTATGACTTGGGGCATTTTGAGGCCCAGGATGAGAGGAACAGAAGAGAAAGAAAGGTGTGGAAAAGGTATGAAAAATGAGGTAGCTCATCTTTTGGAGAGAAGGCAAGTGGACTGCTCCTATGCTTTGAGTCACTCTTTGGTGGGACTCCATTCCAGCTGCACGGCGGGATTATTTCAGAGCATTTTCAAAAATGCTCATTTCCAGGTACCATCAAAGCCCACTCAAATCCAAAGAAGGAGAGGGTCTCTGTGATTTTTTTTAAGCTCGCTGGATGTTTCTAATATACAGGAAGGCTGGAGAGCCACACGAGTTTATAAAAGCTACTAAAAGAAAACCAGGAGGACGTTTTCTGTTCTTCTTTCTTCCCCCTGTGGCCCCTCAATCCCCTGGCCCCTAAGTATCAACAGAAACCTTCAGATCAGGGTGTTCACCGATTCTGGACCCCCTGATGTTCTCCAGCCCAGGAAACATCTTTACTCCCCCATCTCTCTTACCCCTTATCCCCTTTCAACGCCCCTTTTCTTTCTAACCTTAATTCCATGGGCCAGGTCACTGCAAACATTTTTTATGGCAAATAGTGCCTACTAACTGCACAAAATGCAGCTCCCCACCTCCAACCAGGCCAGAGGTGGAACAACACAAAGGGAAAGTGAAACCAAACCACAGGTTTGATTTTGGTCCATTGCTTCTTTTTTAGAAGATCCATGAATATTTATAATCCAGGACCTTAGAGACCATCCCATGTCCTCGTTTCAAAGGTGAGGAGACAGATCCAGAGAGGGCAGTGACGTCCTGAGGTCACACAGCTGGCTGGCAGCACCACTGTCCAGCTCTCCAGGCTCCCAGTCCAGGCACCTTTACTCCACACTGGGCTGTCATTCCTGCTTGGCTCTGTTCCCAAAGCAGAATCTCTGTGGTGTGCAACCCTGTTGTGTCCCAACCCTCCTGGGGCATACACCACACTGTAGTGATCATTTCTTCGTTTGTTTGTTTGTTTGTTTGTTTGTTTGTTTGTTTGTTGAGGAGAGGGGAAGGACAGAGAGAGAGAGAGAGAGAATTCCAAGCAAGCTCCACACTGTCAGTGTGGAGCCAGATGAGGGGCTGGATCCACCAACCGTAAGATCATGACCTGAGCCGAAATCAAGAGCTGGAGGCTTAACCAGCTGAGCCACCCGGGCGCCCCTGTAGCAGTTATTTCTTCGGGGAGGAGGGAAGGGGCATTGAATTCACAGAAATAAATCCTGCATAGTTTGAAAAGGAAAAAACTCCTGGCCATTATTATTCACCCTTCACACTCTTGAGAATCATTACCAACCCAACAGTAATTCAAGCATTAATTCTGAACAGATTCATTAGTGTTTTTTTTTTTTTAATAGAGTAATCTGAAAGCTGCATCTCAGAGAAAACAGACAGTACTTGTTTTCATTTGGCTAATGCTGCCTGGGCCTCCTGCAGAGAGGCGGAGCTCAGAAAATATTTGCAGAATGAGTGAATTCCTCTGATCATCAACAGAGATCAGAACTGACAGCCAGAAGTCCTCCAATAAATAGTTTTGTCAGTTGCTATCATGCCCTTGGGGGCTGACATTTGCCCATCCTGAGCATCTCCTGTCGGTTTCCTGGCAGCAAAGCATAAATGTGAAATGGCTTAGCACACACTCCTTTCAAAACCTTTTGCAGAGAGCATACAAACATGTATTTAATTACCTTTCAGCCTGGAAAGGCTGAAAATTAATTGACATGATTAATTTATGTCTTTGTTTAGGTTTCCCCAGAAACTGACCCTGAGACAAATATTAAAGTGGAAATGGTTTATCTGGAAGTTGGCCGGGGCGGGTGGGGAGTACAAAATACCGGTAGAGAAGGGAACCAACAAAGAACTCATTCTCCAACCAGCAGCCACTGTGGGAGACTGGACTCTGAAGCCACAGGGCTTCTGGGGAACAGTACAGAATACAAGAGAAGGGAAAGGCGAGGAAGCTGGGGTAGTAATACCATCCCCATCAGACATCTGGCATCTGCTAGCAGAGTGACCTTTCAAAGACTTCAGAGAAAGCTCCTCCAGGCAAAGAAGTATGGAATTTGGCAGTGGAATGGAAGCTGGGGAGAACAAACATGTTTCAGCCTGAGGGATAAAGGTGGATGCCATCAGCATCTGCTACCAGTTATCTGCTAACTCCTCCTAGTTTTAAATCAATAAAAGCCTATAAAGAGGTTATGGCTAGGTTCTCTCCAGCCACGGTCGTGGATGTCAGGAACTTTGGCGGTCCAGTTTTTGGAACTTCTCAAATTGTATAACTCCATGTTTGGGGAGATCAGTTTGGTCCAGAAAATTTCTGGAGGGTCTTGCAGCCTGGCCCTTCCTTTGATTTATTGTGGTTACCTACCTCAAGGTATTTGGGGATGTTCAGGGAACCACAGACAACATGCCATACCACCCTCCAGACCTCCTGGCTAGCCATGGAATACATCCCTCCAGTCTGCAGCCCACAGACCCTCACAAGGCCACCTTGGGAATA